TTTTTTTTTGTTAGTCCCATATTAAATGCAAGGCCGAGAGAAACACTTTAAATTCTTCAACTGTGAGGCATTTCCACTCAAATGGACGGGCATAAAAGGAGTTGGGATTTTGGGTGATAAATTGCTGGGCAAAAAGATTGCATTGGTGCACAACTGAATTCAAAAAATCTTCAGTGAAAAATAAATGGAAAAAATCAATGGCTGTAAAATTTTGAGTTTCTACCTGAATGCCTGATTGGGCTATGAATGGGGGAATTATAGGTGCTCGTGATCCTGTAGGTAGCCACACAGGGTTTAAAAGTGCATCTGGGACAGCAGTATGGACCCTTGGTCGCTGACGTGACACCCGAGTACTAGTACTTGCACTTACACTGCTGGTACTAGCCATGTCAGAGGAAGATATTGAGCTGCTGGTGGTTGCTTGCTGGTCCTTGGAGCTCCTCAATCTTTTTGTTGGAACACCTTCTTCTGATTCAGAGAGTGAACCGCTGCTGTGTACTGGTTCATATACAGAATCTGAGTCTGACAGTGAGAGCTCTCCGTCACTCTCATCTGTCATACTCAGAATTTGAAATGCCTCCTCGCTTGAATATAATCTTTTGGCCATATTTTTGGCACTGTGATCAGGAACTACTGGAATGGCGGTGATCAGGATGATGGTGCTGGTGTGTACAGTGGTCTCTGATGTTACTGTAGTGAGGGACAGATGGCTGTCTGCGGTTGGTTTACACAAGATGCTGTTGGGCAAAGATCAGAGATACCGTGAGCTGGCAGGCAATGTTTTGTGAGTGTGTGTGTAAACTGTGTGCAAAGACTAAAAAGTACTCACAGTTTGCTGTAATGGCTCTCAGGTGATCAGGACTGGTATGGTGGTGATCAGGACCCGTGGGTTTAGCAGCGATCAGGATCCAATGATGTGGCGGCGATCAGAACCCGCTGGTATGGCGGGGATCAGGACCCACTAGTTTGGTGGTGATCAGGATCTGCTGGGGTGGTGATCAGGACCTGCTGGTATGGCTGTGATCAGGATCTGTTAGTGTGGCGGCGATCAGGACCCGCTGGTATAGCTGTGATTGGGACCTGCAGGTGTGGCGGTGATCAAGACTTGGTGGTATGATGATCAGGATATGGTAGTGTGGAGGTGATCAAGACCTGCTGGTGTGGAGATCAGGGACACTGGGACGCTATGCAGTGACCAGGGACACAGCTGGGCCGCTGTGTGGCGATCAGGGACACTGGCGATCAGGGACACTGACAATCAGGGACACACAATGACAGGGGACACTGACAATCAGGGACACTGACTATCAAGGGACACTGACGATCAGGACACTTGTGATCAGGGACGCTTGTGATCAGGGACGCTTGTGATCAGGGACGCTGACGATCAGGACACTGACGATCAGGGACACTTGTGATCAGGGACGCTTGTGATCAGGGACACTGACGATCAGAGACACTTGACGATCAGGGACACTTGTGATCAGGACACTTGATCACACTTGACGATCAGGGACACTTGTGATCAGGGACACTGACGATCAGGGACACTGACGATCAGGGACACTGATCAGATCACTGACACTTGTGATCAGGGACACTTGACGATCAGGGACACTGACGATCAGGGACAGGATCAGATACTGACGATCAGGGACACTTGTGATCAGGGACGCTTGTGATCAGGGACACTGACGATCAGGGACACTGACGATCAGGGACACTTGTGATCAGAGACACTTGTGATCAGGGACTGTGATCAGGGACACTGACGATCAGGGACACTCATCAGGGACACTTGTGATCAGAGACACTGACGATCAGGGACACTGACAGTGATCAGGGACACTTGTGATCAGGGACACTTGTGATCAGGGACACTGGTGATCAGGGACACTGGCGATCAGGGACACTGGCGATCAGGGACACACTGGCGATCAGGGACACTGGCGATCAGGGACACTGGCGATCAGGGACACTGGCGATCAGGGACACTGGCGATCAGGGACACTGGCGATCAGGGACACTGGCGATCAGGGACACTGGCGATCAGGGACACTGGCGATCAGGGACACTGGCGATCAGGGACACTGGCGATCAGGGACACTGGATCAGGGACACTGGCGATCAGGGACACTGGCGATCAGGGACACTGGCGATCAGGGACACTGGCGATCAGGGACACTGGCGATCAGGACACTGGCGATCAGGGACACTGGCGATCAGGGACACTGGCTGATCAGGGACACTGGCGATCAGGGACACTGGCGATCAGGGACACTGGTCACTGACAATCAGGGACACTTTTGATCAGGGACAGGGACACTTTTGATCAGGGACACTTGTGATCAGGGACACTTGTCAGGGACACTTGTGTCAGGGACAGTCAAGGACACTTGTGATCAGGGACAGACAATCAGGGACACTTGTGGTCAGGGACAGACAGTCAGGGACACTTGTGGTCAGGGACAGTCAGGGACACTTGTGATCAGGGACAGACAGTCAGGGACAGTGATCAGGGACAATCAGGGACACTGTGATCAGGGACAATTAGGGACACTTGCAATCAGGCTTGCTCTTGCTCTTCTAATCCGGCTCCTTCTCTCACAGACAGAACTCCGTGTGAGGAGAAAGAGCCGGAAGCCGCACCATGCGGCTTCTGTTTACAGTTATAATTGGTCACATGGTACAGGACGATTTCATTGGTCCTGTACCATGTTACCTGATCCCCTGTATCTGAGGGACCCGGCGATCTGTGGGCACGCGCGTGCGCGGTCAAGGGGGCGGAAGCCGCACCATGCGGCTTCTATTTACATTAGGACTGTGTCCTTATTGGACACATCGGTCACATGGTACAGAACGGTCCTGTACCACGTCAGGTGATCGCCGGTATCCGAGGGACACGGCGATCACCGGGCACGCGGGTGCGCGCTCTAGGAGCCGCGCACGAGCCTCGGATGCGGGCGGCCGTTCCTAATCCTTAAGGGGCGTACAATCTAAGGTGCCTAACTTACATTCATATATACACATACTAGGAACCAAACTTTTTGTGGTATTTTAACATTGTAAAAGGCAACTGCTATTTCTTCTAGTTGAAATACTTGAATCTAATTCCATCATAAGCACTGTTAACACATACTTGATATGTAGAAGACAATGGGACTGAAATCAGTATCAGGGAATCTGAAATATTCCTTTTGACTTTTATATAGTATCCAACAAATGTCTATTTAGCACAAACAAAACATTTAACAGAGGAGAATATGCACGTTTGAGATTGATTGCATGCTTTTGCTTCAAATCAATATTAGTCAATTCAGTCTTTTATGTGAAAGGGGGGGTTAAGGTTACACAACCCATTAAATAGAGTCCTCTATATCCATATATATTTTTTCCTAGGTACAAAAAAATTACAATCTTTTTTCTGCCTCTAACGTCATCCTTCAATTGATATTCTCCAATAAGGAATGGAGAATAGGTGTCTATTGATATATACTAAACCATCTCATGTGTTAATTTACACAGTAAAAATTTATTAAATGTGAATTCTAAAAATGCCTAAATAAAATATCGAGAGTATTTTTTAATACGATTTTCTAAAATAAAATATTTGTTTGCTAATAGGTTTGGCCTTTTCTGCATTAAATGTTGGCAACTAATGTTCATACCTTGTTTTTTTTTTTGCTACTAATGTAATTCTTGGCTTTTTAGAAGTTTCTACAAGGGCATAGTCTGTATCTTGCAATTTTTGATAGAGTTACAGGTCATTGCTACAAGTCTCAGATCTCTTACAGTTTCCAGTAGAGCATTGTCTCATGCATGCAAGAAAAGCATCTTAGAAAAGGCATTTGAACCGACATTTTTGTAGATTTAATGTCACGGCATTCATGGCAAAAACCAAACCATAAAAGACATTGCTTTCTCTGGGCATCTACCCATGTTCATATAGACTTTGTGTTTGATCACAGATCAGCTGAACAGTTCTGTACACCCTTGCAAAAATGTCAATTGAAAAACACTTGATAGGTGTTGGATACGCATGTCAATCACCTCCTTTTAATGTCTGTGTGAATGTAGCCCTACTTAAAAGATGCTAGCCTAGACCCCAAATACTTGCAAATGGTAGGTATAGTACTTGCAGTTTGCCACACATTGTCACTCCGTTTCTTGCCTCCTCTCCAAAGTCATATTTTGTATCAGATTTCATCTGTCCTATTGCCAGTTTTACCAAAACAGTGATGTGTGAAGGCTTTTTTAGACAAACCATTCAAATTGTACCCAGCCAGGTAGATCCTTGTTGGCAAATTCTGTTGATCTAAGAAATCACATCTAAAATAAAATGTGTCCTGTGGGCAGCATTAGAGCAGTTGCCTGTAATTAAAAGGCTCACCCACTGACACTCCCTTACGGATGCTTCCTGATGTAACTGCATGTAAAGTACATTAAGGAAATTGTGTAGTAATGCATAATCTGCAACCTTGCACCACTCGAGATTGGGAAGGAACACTCCATCAGAGTTGGGGGTGCCTCCAGCAACACAATGGGAAATATAATGTGTTGCTGCTTTAAGTTTTAGGCAACACCAGGTCCAGTAGTCCGTAGTTGCAACATTGTTGCACTGCTGAAATCACCTTCATGTTGTTTCTGCCCTGTAATTCTCCTACCAGTAAGTATTTTGTAAAAAAAAAGTCTTCAAAAAACAGTTTGACCTTCTATTGCTCTCACTCATGAGAACCAACAAACTCAAAAAATCCTGCAAAGCATATAATTAGGTGCTATAAACAATCTTCAGTTAAAAACATAATATGGTGAAAGACTATCTGTCCTAGCCTGCAGATCAGTGAATAATCTCAACAAAATGAATCAGAGGGCTGGATCACAAGGAGGGTAGATCTTCAGTGGTCTACCCAGGGGCGGACTGACCATTTGGAAACTCAGGCACTGCCCGAGGGCCCGGGGTCAGTAGGGGGCCCCATGAGATGCACCCGGTACCTTTTTCATAGGCTTTTTTTGAGTTTGGGCAAGGACACAGGGGCCCCATGATCCTCTATTGCCCAGGGGCCCCATGAGTTGTCAGTCCACCCCTGGTCTACCCTGGTCTATCTGTTGATAAGAAGATAAAACTAGGGGGTGGTTTTATAGATTTTTCTATAGCACAGCATCATGGCCTTCGAACAACAGTTGCACGAATAAACCTGACACAGAGGTTTTCCCCTTGGGAGCAGTTGCAAAACAGAATTGATACCATGAGTATCTTACAGATGGCAGGGAGAACAACAATGAACAAAAATAATACAAAAATAGTATTATGTTTTTTTTTTCCTGGAGTGTGGAAGTATCACAATAAAGCAGCATTAGGAGTACGATTAGTATCTTGGGCTAGGCACATGATGATGATGATGATGACGACAAATGTAATAACAACACATACTCAGAACATCTGCTGGTGATTCTGAAGCAAGAAGGCTGACGTTCACTGCAATAGGTAAATATGTGCAATCTGGTCAGTCTGGCAAAAAAGAATACATCTTCAGCTATATTTCCAAAAATATGTTGATATTCCTACCAAGAGAGCAAGAATGTAGGGTTGGATGGCAGCTGAGGTGTTTTATCTTACATACATACAACAACTATTTTAGAGATGCCTCAAAATATATCACATTGTAACTTTCTGTTTACTAGCTCATTGAGGTTGTAGTACTTTGACAGATGGCATGGGATCATTTGGTGTTGTTTACTGCAGGTTGCACTATATCTTACAAAATAATTCTGACAATTTTCATTTTACCAATGACTTTTTCAAGAGATGGATAACTTCTTTTCACCTAAGTGCAAAATATTAGCCCTACAACATCTCCTCTGTATACATTCTTATTCACAAAAGCAGCAAAAAGAGCACATGGCATTTTTTTATGTGACCAGACATTCTTTGGTGCTCGATACATAATAATATACAATGGGGTTGATCAGAGGACAAGGGGGCACTCTTTACATCTGGAGGAAAAGAAATGTAATCTCCAAACACAGAAAGGTTTCAGTGAGAGCTGTGAAAATGTTGAATAGACTCCCTCAAGAGTTGGTTCTGGCCAGCTCAGTGGATTGCTTTAAAAAAGGCCTGGATTCTTTCTTAGATACACAGAATATAACTGGATATAACATTTATAGGTAAAGTTGATCCAGGGAATATCCGATTGCCTCTCAGGGGATCGGGAAGGATTTTTTTTCCCAGCAGGAGCAAATTGGATTGTTGTTTGCTGGGGTTATTTTTGCCTTCCTCTGGATCAACTGTGGGTATAGGATTAGAACTTTTTATTTTTTCTATGGTTGAACTGGATGGGCTTTTGTCTTTTTTCAGCCAGATTAACTATGTAACTAAAACTGGGGAGTGCAAAATCTGGCGCAGCTCTGCATAGAAACCAATTATCTTGCAGTTGTTTTTGTCAAAGCTTAACTGAACAAGCTGAAGTTGGAAGCTGATTGGCAACCATGCACAGCTGCACCAGATTTTGCACACTTCAGTTTTAGTAAATCAACCCCAATGCCTACTGTATGGAATGGCTTTGTACACTTGGGGAATTTGTGAAACACTTTATTTTTTACCAGGTTTTGATGACATTCCTTATCTTGTAAAAACACCCCAGGATAGTGCGCCCCTCAGCTGTACATTTTAAATGCATATTATCTAATCATGTTGCAGCATTGGCAATTTATAGTATAGTATGAAGACATAATTGCAAGTGTAGTTGCCTGATGTAGTGCCTCCCATTAGTTTCAATGATCAGATTTCCTGAAATTTGAAGTGCAATCATTGTTTCTTCACCGTAGATAGGTTACAGATTTGCTGTCAAGAGAGCATTTCTTCAACAAGGAGATAATTCCTGTAGTAGTACTCATTCAAAAAGGTATACCTTCAGCCTATACTTTGCTGAGAAATAAAATGTCAGTGCAGATAAATGACACTTCAAAATATCGATACTCTAGTTAACAATACCATAGACATAAATCACTTCAAGAAGACAATTCAAGAAAATTTGATTTTTTTAAATTATAATTAGAATCACTTGAGGCAAACCAAGTATATTTTTTAGCTTGGTTGGTATCTTAAAATACAGAGAGAAAGACGTATAATTGCTTTTATTTAAGGACTCTATTACCTAGAAAAACAAATGCTTGAGAATGCTATGACCGAAGCAGTCATCCCGTCTTATATACCACATTACAATTTGAAAGCAATGAAGCCAAACGTATTCATTGAGTTACTTCCCTGAAACTGACACTTAATCTATAAAAGAGGGAATGGTGGATTCCATCAGAGCCTTATATAACTGGAGTTCTGCTTTTTTAGAAAGTCCCTAAAAGCAGAAACCAGTGTTCCACACATGTTGAGTACTTCTTTGCAGTTAATGTAATATAAAGACATTCTCCTCGGTAATGTGGTCCTTGTATCCAAATCATCAACTTCAAAATAGGCCTTGTATGGGGGGATAATTTACTAAAGGCAAATAGGTCTTTGCAAGGGATGTTCACTTTGCAAGGGAATTTTCTCTTAGTTATGTTTTAGGCATGTTTTATAGCAGAAAGTAAAAAAAGATTGGGTTTTTTGGTCTTCTTTTGTTTATAGCGCAAAAAAAACCCCAGTGGTGATCAAATGCCACAGAAAGAAAACTATTTGTGCAAAAAAATTTTTTTATAAATTTCATTTATGTACAGCATTGCATGACCACGCAATTGTCCATTAAAATAACACAGTGACGAATGGCGTTTGGTGGAAATTATGGATTACAGAGACCAGATGCTGAACATCTTGGAAGTACACTGGGCACAGGAAGATATGGAGTTTCTAGTCCTTCAGGAATGGGAGCTGGAACAAGCATATGAAAGACTGTTCGACAAAGCTCAACAGTATGTCCCAGTCCCCATGGATGTTATAGATTATGAGTTACCCAAAAAAGCTCTGGCACTGGGCTCAAGTGCTGCCAGCCCATGCCCTGGATTTTCAGCAATCTCAGAGATTGGGGATTTAATAGACTTTTCTGCTGAGGAGGAACAGCCCAGTGAGCCACCAGCAGAAGAGCTGGCATTGAGGCAGGGCACACCTGATCTCTGCCTACAACATCCAGGGGCCCTGGAGGATTTCTGCGAAGCCACCAAATTTTCATTTTCTTTGCCAGTGGAAGAGCTGGCATCAGGACAGAGCACCGCTGGCCGCTGTCCAGCACCAACAGCACTTCTGGAGCTCCAGGGAGCCAGGGTGGGCAGACCTTCTTCTCAGCAGCAGGCCGATACAGTGGAATTCCTAACCCCAGCTGAAATGCTGGCAGTGGGGCAGAGTACTGCCTGTCTCTGGCCATACACAGTCCCATCAGATGTGCTGGCAACAGGACAGGGGATCCAAAATCTCTGCCCCACACCCACAGCAGTTCCAGGGCCCCAGGGAGAGGAGGTGGTTGTCCTCTTTCCCCAGCGGCAGTTCCACAGTCCGGGAGAGGAGGTAGTTGTCCTCCCTCCCCAGTGGCAGTTCAGGGACTCTGAAGAGAAGGAAATCGAATACGCTCCACAACGGGAGTCCGGGAGTCCAGGAGACTGAGCAACCAGCTCATCTCCCCAGCAGCAGTTCCACAGTCTGGGAGAGGAGGTGGTTATCCTCCCTCCCCAGCGGCAGATGCACAGCCTGGGAGATGAGGTTTTTGTCCTCCCTCCCCAACAGTCAGCCAGAGCCAAGGAAACTGTTTTCCCTGCAAGGATCCATGCACCAGGGAGACAGTACAAGAGAACTGTCGTCCCAGCAGCTGGATTAGGGTGGAGGAGATGGAACAACTGACTTGTCTCCCCAGTGGCAGTTCCACAGTCTGAGAGAGGAGGTGGTCTTTCTCCCTCCCCAACAGTCAGCTAGAGCGGAGGATGTGGGGTCCCCAGCTGAAGTGCTGGCAACAGGGTAGAGCACCGCTGGCCTCTGTCCAGCACCTCATGTGTCTTCACAGCTCCAGGGAGTTGGGGCAGTCGGCCTCTCTTCCCAGCAGCAGACCAAACCCTGGAATGGTAAAGACCTCCCAGCTGAAGTGCTGGCAACAGAGCAGAGTGCCACTGGCCTCTGTCCAGCACCTAATGTGTCTTCACAGCTCCAGGGAGTTGAGGCAGTCATCCTCTCTCCCAGCAGCTACCCAAACGATAAAGACATCCCAGTTGAAGTGCTGGCAGCCGGACAGAGAATTCTTGACCTCTGCTCCTTGCCTACTAATAACAAATTTCTCTGCAGCCACGAATGGGGATTCTGTGGACCAACCATGTGAGTTCACTCTGCCCGACTAACGCATGTCCAGACCAGGTGGAGGTATAGGACCTGACTGGTCGACTTTTGAGGGGGGTGAAATGTGACAGACCCCACCTGGATAGGGGCTTTTAGAGGGTACTAGGGGCTAGCCTTCTACCCACTGATTATGGCCCATGGAGAGAGCATATCATTCTCTAATGAAGGACAACAGCTTCATGAACGCTGAAAGTGAGGCATGGATTAATTCTCTGCATACAGACAATAAATCTTCCCTTCTGGAGTGGATGGAAAGATGTAATAATAATCTTGTACAGGTTAATGATGAGAGGAAATATGGTGGCCCTCATGCAGACTGGGTTGGGGAAGCTCCTCTATTTGGGACATAAATATTTATCAACAATCTCCTTCAAGAAATCTATCAAGATAAATTAATTCCACTGTTCAGACTGTTGGAATATTGTATGCGTTTTGTCTTATGATGGACATATTATACAAGTGAAAGCAAACACCTGATAGACAGCATGTGCAATGTACTTTGGGTATTCAGGGGTGGATTTGTTGCTGGTCTATCTGTGGTATGCTCCCAGATTAATCAAAGCATTTTCTGGGTGCTTCGCTGCTGATTAGCTTACTGTTAAATCAGTGTTAGCTGTTGGTGTACTGTTTACCTTTTGCATTGTTTAGGATGATGTGATCCAGCTCTTACCTAATCAGTGTGGAATGCTTATTCCAATGTGTAATATTTGTGAGGACTGTACCTATTTCTGAGTGTATAAAAATCTGTGTTTTTTTGTTCAATAAAGTAGTTCCAGTCTGCATCCAGCTAATGTTGCCTAGTCTTGGGTGCAATGCCCAGCTATAATACCTTGGCCCTGTGTCACAGTGGCAAGGAAGCGGTTCTCTGACGGAATCACCCAACCTGGGTGACAGGCATTCTATCACAATGCCCAAAGAACTGTAAACTGAGGACAACTTCCTGGCAACTATATACAAGTCCAAGATAGGAAATTCTCTTCTGGGAGAGCTCTCCAGCCTCTCCTGGTGTACCACCTCAGACCCCAGATAAATCCTCTTCTTTACCCAGCTGTCTGGAGGAATCCCTGGGCAAGGGGATCCAGTGCCTCCTGCTGTAAGTTAAACAGTCCTGAGTAAGGAGCTAGTCAGGTTTTCCACCAGAATGATCTTTCCCCTTAGCTCACCCAGGGGGTGTAGGATTACTCACTCACTCAGCCCTGGCCCCATGCCAAGCCTCCTGCTTGGGAATTGGCCAAAGTCCTCCAAGTGTGCAGGCTAGCGCCCCCTCACCATTGCCCACTGCTTCTAGAATCTTCTCCAAGAATCTAGAGCAGGGGAAGGTATCAAGGATCCGACCTGCAGAGCTTCTCAGCCCTGACCCAAATTTGACCATACTGATTATTTCCTCAGGCTGGTACTCTGCCTCTCTAACTAAAAAAAAATTTAATTAGCTCCACCTGGCTATCTAGAGGGGCACTACATAAGCTATGTAATATGAGGACAAACCTAAACAATCCATTCAATTTGAATTAAATCACTTAGGCCCTTACATTACATAGTTGTTGGCTGATCTAAAGATGATTGTACAATCAGATTATATAGTGTATGGTAAGGCAGCCCATAGGTGATTCAATTTTCTATCCTTCCACAACGGGTGGAAGGAAAAAAAATTGCTCATTTACCCCATCAGCACAGTCAGTGTTGATAGGGGAAGGTCTCCCACAGCGCTATTGTATTCTGCTTAAGGGGAGCCTTTCCTGTCGGCAGAACACAATGATTATTGCTAGCGACTATAGTCACCGGCAGTAATCATATGTAAAAAAATTCAACAGGTTGGTTGTACCCAATCAATGGATCAACTTTAGTACAATCAGCCTGCCCATACATGGATCGAATCTAGGCCAGCCCCTGCTGAACTTGCTAAACTTCAATCCATGTATGGCCAGCTTAAGTGTAGGGTAGCCATACATGGTTAGATTTTTCTTGTTCAGACCCACAGGCTGAACAAGAGAAAAACACTTGATTTCCTGATTCACACTACACAGCAGGGAAAAAAGATTCTGCCAGCTGTTGTGTTCAGACAGCCACAGCACCAGCTGCTGTCTGAATACACTAACAGCGATGTCATCTAATTAGATGCAGTCACTGTTAGGCTGACAATCTTATATCCCTAGAGAGCTGACAGGGTCACCCACAGCTTGAATTTCAGCTGAGGCAGTGGGAATATGATGAAATCTAAGCCGAGCGTGGCTAATTTTAAGAGGAGTGAGGCAAGAGACCACAGCAATGCTACCATTATGCAATGGTTACACACAGGTCAGTAAATACATGTAGACATACAGTAGTTGGTTCACTACTTCCGTAATTTGTTCAAAAATGATCTGTGGAAAACAGAACTGTAAAAAACACACCTGGCCGAAATCCATGTGATCTGTATCCCTAGGCCATTCTGACCTCATTATTTTACAAGTCAAATCACTACACTATATATTAGCTACAAAACATGAAAACTCTACAGATGCATCAATCCTCCTGTATGCATGGGTATGATAATATAACCTCTCCAGCGATGCTGTTCATTCAACATCTTCTATACTACAATAGCTAGTAATATGCAGTCAAATGGTTGGAGTTGATGGTGAGGTGAACACTTCTCCTTTAACCACTTGCCCTCCAGAGGATCTAACCCCCTTCCAGACCAGGCCATTTTTTGCTATATGGTGCTGTGTTACTTTAACTGACAATTGCGTGGTCATGCAACGCTGTACATAAATGAAATTTATGTCCTTTTTCCCCCACAAATAGAGCTTTCTTTCAGGGTTATTTGATCATCTGCGCATTTTTTATTTTTTTTTGCGCTATAAACAAAAAAAAAATATACCAACAATTTTGAAAATAAAGCAACAATATTTGTTACTTTTTGCTATAAAACATATCCAGTAAAAAAAATAAAAAAAATCTAATTTTGCCATAAATTTAGGTCAAAGTGTATTCTGCTACATGTCTTTGTAAAAAAAAAATCCCAATACATGAAAATTAATTGGTTTACATGAAAGTTATAGCGTCTACAAACGGCGGTATATATACACTGGAATTTTTATTGATTTATTTTTATACTATTAATGGCAACGGTCAGCAACTTATTGTGGGACTGCAGGACTGCGGTGAGCATTCTGACACTGTGTGGGAACTGACTAACTGCCACTGACATCCAATGACACTAGTACAGTGATCAGTGCTAATAAAAAGCACTGACACTGTACTAATGACACTTGAACAGGAAGGGGCTAACATCTGGGGCAATCAAAGTGTTTACTGTGTGTTGTTGTGTTTGTTTTACTGTATGTGCAGTGTGTGTTTTACTAGGAAAACATGCTGCAGTGTATTTCTCTGCTGTGCAGAGAGATACATAGCTGCATGTTATTGCTGGCAGCAGAGAGACCTGTGTTGTTTACACACAAGTCTCACCCGTCATTGTTTCTCAGCAATCGCCGGGTGCCAGGAGGGAATCTCCGGCCGGGACCCAGTGACCAACATCTGTAGCTGTCAATGGTGGCGTGGGGAGTGCAGTGCGTGGGCTCGCGCCCCCTACCAGGAAATGCTAAATCACTTATATATACACGTGATTTTGCGCTGCAGCGCAGCCCTGCCACCCTTTAGCAGTATTTCTGCTATAGGGTGGTGGGGAAGCTGTTAAATATGTATATTTTTTAAAGAAGTGATGGGCCATTGACAGGTAAAGCACTAGAGCAGGGATCCTCAAACTTTTTAAACAGGGAGCCAGTTCACTGTCCCTCAGACCGTTGGACTATGAATAAAATGCGGACACAGTACAGGAAATGACCAGAGACTGTGGACACAGTACAGGAGAGATGACCAGAGACTGCGGACATAGTACAGGAGATGACCAGAGACTGCGGACACAGTACAGGAGATGACCAGAGACTGCGGACACAGTACAGGAGATGACCAGAGACTGCGGACACAGTACAGGAGTGATGACCAGAGACTGCGGACACAGTACAGGAGATGACCAGAGACTGCGGACATACAACGGCGGCGGGAATACTGGGCCAGCCGCTCCATAAGACGCACAGGCATTTCCCCCCAAGTGTGTCTTACGGAGCAAAATATACAGTAAATGCAGGACACCTTGTTGGGTCAGATCTGTGTACAATGTAAAGAGAGAGAGGGGGGGGGATAAAGAGGAGAGAGAGAGGAGGAGGTGGGGGAGAGAGAGAGGGAGGTGGGGGGAGAAAGAGGGGGGAGGTTGGGGGGAGAGAGAGAGGAGGGGGGAGAGAGAGGGGGGAGGGAGAGAGGAGGGGGAGAGAGAGGGAGGAGGGGGGAGAGAGGGAGGAGGGGGGAGAGAGAGAGAGAGAGAGGAAGGGGGGAGAGAGAGAGAGGAAGGGGGGAGAGAAGAGGGGAAGAGAGAGGGAAAGAGGAGAGAGGGGGGAAAGAGAGAGGGAGGAGATCGATCATCTATTGCACTTATCTAGGGTCCGTGGCTGTGATACCCGACATGCAGCGATGGAGTCTCCTCTCTTAGCTCCCCCTCTTCATGGTCAGCTCTAGGCTCCGCCCTCCAGCCGTGACGGTTGCATGCACTGATCAGAATAGATGGCCATCTGGCTGCAGATAAGCCAGGTGAGTGGTGGGGTTCATAAGCAGAGCCCACCTTCCCCTGTTCTAGAATTGCTGATCCCGCCCTCCTGCCTCCTGCCCGAGCCCTGCCAAGCTCTCCCGACCTGCCAAAACCCTAGCCCCTTGCCTCGCAGCAGATACTCCCCTGCCCGGCGGGCCAGATAAATGTCCTCAGCGGGCCGCATGAGTTTGAGGACCCCTGCACTAGAGTAGAGTAATGGTCAGAGTTTGTCTCGAAATCTCCCACACACATTCCCATGAAAACCCAAGACAGAAGATTTTCAGAGGCTGCTATAGATGACTGCACTTTATAACTGTAACAGTTTTGTTTTTTTTTTTCTTTTCTCCCCATGAAAAAGTCTCTTTAAAGTGACCCTGTAATCTCATAAGCAATAAATGAATGCTAAAAAGGAATATAAATGTTGCAATACTTACTGGTCTAGCTTCGATATTCCTTGTATTTCAAAAAACACTGCTGGCTGAAGTTTCTTCAGTATCTGACACTTCCAGGAGTGTCAGATGGCTGGTCTGCCTTTGTACACTGTGGTTTCTTCTACCAGCACTGTGACTACTGAGTCCTGTTGTGATGTAAGAGCCAGAGGGAGGAACAACCAGTAATCAGAGGGGGACCAGGCATTCAACAATTCATCTTCAGATACTGCAGAAAACTATTATATACAGCATTTCTTCTTTTTATTTCTTCAGCACTGACATACCTAAGCCCACAACTGCCATGAACAATGATAAATCCAGACTTGATTATATCTTTGACAGCTCTCACACTTTTGGCAATATAAAAAAATGTTTAATAACATCTGAAAACAAATGGAAATCAGCACCTGGTGGGCAGCAGTCATGTATTTTGCAGTTCCATAAATTAAATAAATTCTAACAATTAACAATGAAAATCACTTGTGTGAGTAAACAAAGTTAATAAGCTTCTACAACTATCAGACAGATTACTGTGTATTACAAGAGGAAATCTTATATGTACAATATATCTGCCATTTTTCAGGCATTCCATTAACAGTAATACAGCCGTTATTACCCACCAACCTCAGGTCTCGAAGGGACAGTTTGTGTCAGAAATGTTGTCTGTTTTGTTGCTTAAACAGACGCAACTAACAGAACATTTAAGATTTTTAAATGATTTGTATGTATGTATGTATCTATATTTTGTACCGTGAGCTTTGATGTAGAAAGAAATAAAATAACCAGGCAGTGAATTTCCAAAAGAGTAGTAGGATTAATAATAGCAGCTGCAGCTGGGAGCAAATTCATTACTTGCTCAGAAATAAAGAGTTTCCAGACTCCTTTTATAAAAATCTATCACCATAGAATTACATGTGGTACAATATGATTGGTTGTCAAGACATACGTCAATGTAATTAACATCATTAAAAAATGATGAATGTCTGCACCTGCAGGCCATGATGTCTGGAACTGTCTGAACTCTATCCTAGTATACTATCACCCAATAAATATATGTCTGTCTTAAAGTGTTACTAAACCCACAATAGTAAAATCAGTCTGTATATGCAGTAAAGCATGCTTGTTATACTCACTGTGGAACCTAAGCGGTTAATCTTCTGCATTGTGTAAAAATGCTGTTTGAACCTGTCTTCTCTGATCCTCCCCTTCTTCCAATGTCCCCCTCTTATCCCCTGATAAGACATATCATATAGAGTCACTCTGCACATGCTCAGTTTGGTGTGTATTGGTAGAGAGGTTTTTTTTTTTTTCTTGGGAGAGTACATGTGATCAGCACAGTGCCAATCAGCACTGTCTAGACAGAGGTCAGGGGTTCTGCATCCTCCTACAGCAGAATGAAAACTCCTCCTACAAGCTTTAACAAGTGCTCGGCTGGACACCGATAGAAGTCACAATACTGCTATGTACTGCTGATGAGAAAAGATATTTAGCAGTTTAAATTTACAAACATAATTGCATTTTTATGTTCTGTGTACTGTGGGAGACCAGAAAGAGTGAATGCAGGGTCCTGGGTTTATTAATTTCTAAAAAGCACCAATATGAAGCAGAGAGGTCATCCCGTGTTCAACTTTTAAATATACATATTTTATATCATTATTTACTTTTAAATTTCTAGAAAAATAAATATTGCTTAACAATAATAACTTTTACTAGTTAGTAATATATATGCTAATTATTAATTACAAATACATAAAAGCGCTTATAAAGTTACAAATAATCATAAGTAAACAGTGAAAAATGTGTCAAACAAATAGTCCATCCAAAAATAAATGAAAAGAAAAGTCCCAGAGGCTGTGATGAAACACAAGAAAACCAAGGACAATTGTTGTGTCACCAACCACTACTACAGAAGGCTTACCAGAAAGGCATGACCCCCCTGTTAAGGGTGGTCAATCATGCTTTGTTAAACAATCCAGAAAGCTGGTCACTGGAATCCAGCTCCAGAAAACACCAAAACAGCAGATAAGGATCTTCCAAACAATGAACCTTAATTATGGTAGCTAAACGCCCCCGATGACCTTACCTGTGACAAAACACGTAGATCCTGAGGGAATCTTCCCTCGGAAGAAGTCATTGGACGAAACGCGTCAGAGTGTGGCCTTCCTGTGACGTTACTACTCATGCTGATGCACGTGTCAGGATCACGTGATCGCACTATTACCATCTTGAATGCGGGCTGGCTGGTGAAACACAGGATTCAGAGACTGGAGCTCTGATATAACAAAACGCCTTGTTTTTATTTGTTCATTGTGAGTGTGATTTTTAAGGGGGGTTTGTTTGGCAATAAATTCGTTGGATGATACTGCACTATGGCGAGTATTTTCTTTACCCACATGTGCTAATCTGGATACGAGAGGATCTTCTCTGGAGTTTGTTTGGTGATATGCTGGATACACAGTAGTATGCTGAGTAATTACCAACACATGAGGATCGTCCTTTGAAGTCTGTTTGGTGAATGCTGTATATATACTGACATGCTGGTTAATTACTAGCACATGGTGAGTGTGCATTTTGATGGGGTGTTTTTGAGCACTGAATACCACATTGCTTATGAAGGAGGATCTCATTACTTCATTTACTGAGGATCATGTTTATATGGACTTTTCTGAATGGACTATATTGAGATTCCCTATTTATTGATTTTTTGTTTTTGCACTATTAATATGCACTTATTTGGTGGTGGTTATATTTAGTTGCGTGATTTGGTTTGCGCTATTATTTGTGATTTGTATATTTTTCACATTTTTATTATTAAGGGGTAAAAGCGCTCGGTATTTAAGTGGTTATTTGATATGTGAAACAATCACTTTTCTAATTTCTGTCTCTGCCATACAAGTGAAACTAAACTAGCCAACCATAAGGCCCCATGCACACTGGGCATTTAGCTGGGCTCTGACGTTTAACTGCGGGAGGAGGGCATTCATTCCTGGGCGCATACTGCCCTAAATGTAAGTACTGCTACGTGCACCACCCTTCCCTATCTAAAAGCAGCAGCTGTCAGTCTCTCATAGAGTGTGATATGCTGCCTGCATATCTGTGTCCGCTGCCCACAGCTAAACAACAGAGCCCCATAAACTGGGGTTATACACCCAGTGTGCATGGGACCTATACGTTAACATGGGGGGGCAGCAGAGGGACATACCGAGGCACAATATAATTAGGTTGCTGTGGCAGCACATTCTCCACAGTAGATAGCACAATTCTGTATAATGCAATACATTGCAACAACAATAAAACACCAAGTTATGGGGAAACACAAAAAGTCAGACTGCTGCATGTGGCTTTGTGATAGAGCTTTTATGACTCAAAAGTTACCTCTGTGTGAGAACTGACAAGGAAGTAGGATAGACATCTGAAATTTGAAAATTGTATGTAGCAGTTGTATTTATTAAAGTGTAGTGCCCCTCTCCTGGTCTGGTTAAATTTAATATATACTTCAGTTATAGTCAGCTGAGCTGAAATTAATTTTTCAGGTCTGTTCAGGATTTCCCTAAGCCTGGGGGGATGATTGCTTCTGACTGCTGCTGGAAGAATGTTCCAGCAATACAGTGGGAGGATCATTACTGGTTATGAATAGTTATCTGAACCTAGCCAATCACTGGGAGGCTGACCCAGAAGGTGTGGCTGAGGAGAAGATAATTATTTCAGAGGATCTGATCAGTCTCTCTATCCCCTGGGGCTTCTTCCCTGGGAGGAAGCATGTGTGTTGCAGAGAGCTACTGTTACTGGGCTTCAGCAGGTGCCAATGTACTGAGGGCCTGAAAGATGCTACCTGTAGAAACTGGGCTGGAGAAGGGGAAGAGTTGTCAAGGTCCTACCTTTTCCCAGAGGTTATGCTGCTCCATGTGCTGGCATCCATCTTGGGTTTCTGCATAGCATGGTGGGAGTCTTTTATGCCTTCAGGCCTCTGCGGTCCATCCCCCAGAGGGGTGTGGTTGATCACATATAAGCCTGTTGTCCACACGTGCTCTTTGCATTAGTGTTGCAACAGCTCTGTTTATACTCTTGTGACTCTCCTGGTATCTGACTCGGCTTTTGACTAGACCATTCTCTGCGGTTTCCTTTAATCTGACCTCCTGTTGCTGAACCCGGCCTGTGACCTGTTATTCTTGTCTACTGTTCTGTACCGTTTGTCCTGTTGTTGTCGACCCCGGCCTTCCCGACTACGCTATTGTGTCTGATCTGGTTCTTACCAGCTACATGCCATTGGCGGCGGCCATTACCGCAGCTGGGGTGTCTCGGGGGCCCGCGACCTGGTTCCTGGCTGCGTCAAGTCCATCCCCACCATCAGGGGCCCTGGTGAAGGCAGCCTGGGACTTAGACTCCACGCCCTGGGGGACTCCGGTCTGTGGGTGGTGGTTGTCGTCAGTCAGTGCGTGACCCTGCCACTAGGCCTGCCTGTCCATTCCACAGCTCCTGCCCTGACAAGAGTGTTGTAGGGGAGCTGGGCAGGAGCTGCTGCCTGGACATTGTGAACTGAACAGGATCTTTTTCCCATAGCTCCAGGTACTGAAGTGTTTTAGAGGGTTAGACACCAGATGTTGCTGCTAAGGATTGTGACTGATTTCACAGGGTCTCAGCTTTATGGTCTGTTCCCTCTGTATTCAGCATTATTTTTGAGGTTGCTACTTTAGGACCCAATACTGCTGTAAAAAGGATTTTTCAAGAAGCTGTCCTCCAAGATTTATAAGGGTCTTGTGGTATTCTGCACCATCATTCCTCCTCCCTGCATTTTATTCAATATCTACAATAAATCTTACAAAGACCCCTAGACTGAGCCTGAATTTGTTGGTGTGCTTTAGGGACTGGATATAGAGTGGGCAGCCTCTGAACAGGTAAGCGAGACCCAGTTGATTTCCTTCGGGGTCATCGATACAAAAAGTGAGGTGTTTTTGATGGACCAGATTGTTGGTAAGATGACTAAGAGACACTGGATTCTGGGAGGAATATAGCTACAGTCAAGCTCAGATATTAAAGTACAACTGTCAGGAATGGACTGGCCAGCAATGGTGGGACTCACCTGCCTTTTGATCTGCAGTACCAGGGCTGGCCAGTGGATGCTCCCAGCAATCAGAGACTCAACTTTGCAGCCAGCTAACACCTGGAACTGATTATGCTGGGGTATTTAAGGGATGGCCAGACCCACAGACTCTGCCTTGGTGTTGTGTTTGTCCTGGGCCCTGTATCCTGTGTCTGTCCTGCATCCTGTTTCTGAATCGCTGCTGACTTCTCCTGCTCTGATCCCGGCTCGCTCCTGACCATCCCTCTGCCTGACCCTCTGTACCACGCTGCTTGCTACCTGTTCTGATCCCTGGCTTGTGACCCTGACCATCCCTCTGCCTGACCCTCTGTACTACGCTGCTTGCTACCTGCTGAACCTGGCCTGTGACCCCGACCAATCTCCGCTTGCTCCCCCTGTACCTACCTGCCCTATTGATATTGACCCGGCCTGCCTGACGACGCTTGCTTGTATGTACTGTTATCTGTGGGTGGTTGGTTTGGTTTGGTTTGGTTGCACTGTATTATGTTTTAGTATTGCACTGCGTTTATGTTTGTATTGTTAGTGTTAATAAATTATATTGTTTATAACATATCTGAGGTCTGCGTTTCCCCTGCGTCAGCCACACACCTCTGGTCACACCTGGGAGCCCTGACAACAACTATAGGTTCCTGTATGACAGTCTAAACAAGTCCCAAATCCAGTTACTATGTGATGCACAAGCCTCATAAAGTAAACAAAGTCTTCCTTAACCTCCCCAAGCCCTCTTTCATTTCATACTACTTCCAGACAATTTAGCTCACAGTAGAGGGTTTATAAATAGAGGCAGTGCTATTAATCCAAAAAGTAGTGGGCAGGACTAGGTGTGGCAAGATGTTGACTGACCAGCTGCAGGCATATAAATCAGCATTAATATGGCTGATAGCCACACCCACTGCAGCAATGTTTTCACTGTAGTGCAGTCAGACACAGCCTACAGGAGAGTGACAACTCTGCTCTGAATTCAGGAGCAGCGCAGCATCGTTGCCACACCATTACAGAAAGTTGCATTAGATGAACGTCATTGGCTGGGTCAATAGGTATTTGTAGGACTTTGCAGGGGTTAAACTGGAAGTGCAGTTGCACCTTTAATTAAGTGCTGCAACACATTTTTTAAATGGGCGGCCATCGTTTTACTATAATAGAACCAGCAAAGTACTTTGTTTTGTTAAAATGAACTTCTGAAATGTCCTCAAATACTGTATGTAATGTTGTGAAGCATGCTCA